CGACCACACCCCAGCACGACCACACCCCAGAACGACCACACCCCAGCACGACCCCACCCCAGCACGACCCCACCCCAGCACGACCACACCCCAGCGCGACCCCACCCCAGCACGACCCCACCCCAGCACGACCCCACCCTAGCAAGACCACACGCCAGCACGACCACACCCCAGCACGACCTCACCACAGCACGACCACACCCCAGCACGACCACGCCCCAGCACGACCACGCCCCAGCACGACCACGCCCCAGCACAACCACCCCCCAGCACGACCACCCCCCCAGCACGACCACGCCCCAGCACGACCACCCCCCAGCACGACCACTCCCCAGCTCGACCACTCCCCAGCACGACCACACCGCCTTGGTTGAGTGGTTGCCTGTCGTCGTGGAATGTTTCGTGGGGTGTCTCGTGAATGTTTCGCGGGGTGTCTCCTGGAATGTTTCGTGAGGTGTCTCGCGGAATGTTTCGTGAGGTGTCTCGTGGGATGTTTCGTGAGGTGTCTCGTGGGATGTTTCGTGAGGTGTTGCCCCGTTGGGTATCGTGAAAACGTGCCCATGCTCCACATGTCTATATCCCTTTCCGGGTTCGTGGGTCCATCATGTTCCCGGAAAGGGCTCGGCCCAGGGTTCTCTTTTAGTTGGTAAACCTGTCCCCCGGTGCCAACTTGAGGGAGGCCGGCGAATTTTTTCCCTGATAAATAACGAGGTCGAAGGAGGCCGGCGAATTAAAATTTGAGGATGTCTCGAGCGAAACGCTTGTTTTTGAAATCCCGATCGATAAATCACAGGGTGCGGGCCACTTTTTCGTGTGTTGAGGATGTCTCGAGCGAAACGCTTGCTCCGCAGAGTTTGCCGAGGATGTCTCGAGCGAAACGCTTGTTTTGCAGAGCCGACCGCGACGCGGAAAAGCGCCCCGCGCGAAGGAATTTCGATGATGTTTCGACTAATTTGTTTGTTTTTGTACGATTTCCTGGAATTTTGGCAGGATGTCTCGAGCGAAATGCACGACCCCACCCTAGCACGACCATACCCCAGCACGACCACACCCCAGCACGACCAGACCCCAGCACGACCCCACCCCAGCACGACCCCACCCCAGCACGACCATACCCCAGCACGACCACACCCCAGCACGACCCGACCCCAGCACGACCCTACCCCAGCAAGACCACACCCCAGCACGACCACACCCCAGCACGACCTCACCACAGCACGACCACGCCCCAGCACGACCACGCCCCAGCACGACCACGCCCCAGCACGACCACGCCCCAGCACGACCACCCCCCAGCACGACCACCCCCCCAGCACGACCACCCCCCAGCACGACCACACCCCAGCACGACCACACCCCAGCACGACCACTCCCCAGCACGACCACACCCCAGCACGACCACACCCCAGCACGACCACACCCAGTCGCACCCCCGTGGAATGTTTCGTGGCGTGTCTGGTTGAGTGGTTGCCTGTTCGTGGGGTGTCTCGTGGAATGTTTCAAAGGGTGTCTCGTGGAATGTTTCGTGAGGTGTCTCGTGGAATGTTTCGTGAGGTGTCTCGTGGGATGTTTCGCGGGGTGGCACGACCACGCCCCAGCACGACCACCCCCCCAGCACGACCACCCCCCAGCACGACCACCCCCCCAGCACGACCACCCCCCAGCACGACCACACCCCAGCACGACCACACCCCAGCACGACCACTCCCCAGCACGACCACACCCCAGCACGACCACACCCCAGCACGACCACACCCAGTCGCACCCCCGTGGAATGTTTCGTGGCGTGTCTGGTTGAGTGGTTGCCTGTTCGTGGGGTGTCTCGTGGAATGTTTCAAAGGGTGTCTCGTGGAATGTTTCGTGAGGTGTCTCGTGGAATGTTTCGTGAGGTGTCTCGTGGGATGTTTCGCGGGGTGTCTCGTGGGATGTTTCGTGAGATGTCGCCCAGTTGGGTATCGTGAAAACGTGACCATGCTGCACATGTCTTTATCCCTTTCCGGGTTCGTGGGTCCATCATGTTCGTCCTTATCGCAGCGTCGACCCCACTGGAGGTCTCGACCCGTTCCCCGGGACCGCTCTTTCGTCCCGGGTCGTTTCTGGACGGCCCCGAGGCCCGGCGAGGGCCCCTGGAGGGGCCGACATTGGTGAGCAAAAACCTCCGTCGTGATATTGTTCTGCCCTTTCTCAGGAAGGAAGAAACGCACACACACAGACACAATTCGTCGTCGATTCCCGGGAAAAATATGGGGAAATATTGGAAGTGGGGGGGAAGACGAACACCCAGAAAATATTCGGAAAATATTGGGAATCCTGTCATTTGTGTGTGTCTACTTGTGTGTCCCAGGGCCCCTTCACTTTCCTCCGCCAGAGCAGCCGGCACGGCCAGCGCGAGCCCTGGCATCGAGACGTGCTCGGGGGCCGAAGGGTTTTTGTGAGCGGGGGTGGCCTGTGGGGCGCGTGGGCCGTGGCTGTCTTGGCCTCCGACGTCGCCGGGGCACGGCGGGGGTGTGAGTGTGGAGAGCAGCATGCACGAGCGGGCACTGGTCAGGAGGGGAAGAAGCACACAGACACAATGAATCGTCGATTCCCAGAAAATATTGGAAAATATGGGAAGTGGGGGGGGAGACAAACACCCAGAAAATATTGGGAAAATATGTGGGACGCGAGGGCCGTGGTTGTCTTGGCCTCTGACGGCGCCGAGGCACGGTGGGGGCGTGCGGTGGAGAGCAGCATGCACGAGCGGGCACTGGTCTGCACGAACGAAATGGGCACCGAAAGAATGGGTAGAATGCCCAACACCAGTTCCTGTTCATTATGAGCAGGACTCACTGTCCGCGCCGCCGCGGCCAGTGTCCGTTTGAGACAGAGGACCGCCTGCCCAACAGCGGCCGCTGCTGGTTTGGGGCAACATTTGTTGTTGGGCATTGTACCCATTTTCCCGGAAAGGGCGTAGGCCCAGGGTTCTCTTTTAGTAGGTTTACCCCCGGGTCTGACGGGAAGAGGGCCGGCGGATTCTTTTGCGATAAATAACGAGTGGGAAGAGGGCTGGCGAATGAATTTTTGAGGATGTCCCTAGCGAAACGCTTGCTTTTCAGAATTTGTTGAGGATGTCTCGAGCGAAACGCTTGTTTTGTGTTATAGATTGTTTTCTCCTGGAGACCAGAATTCAGAGGATCTCTCAAGTGAAATGCTTGGTTTCACGTGCCCAGGTCTTGAGGATGTCTCGAGCGAGACGCTTGGTTTCACGCCTGCAGGTTGCCCAGGCAGAGGTCAAGCGCCATGATTTGTTGAGGATGTCTCGAGCGAGACGCTTGGTTTCACGCGTCCTCGTCGCCCAGGTGGATGTCTAGAATGAGGAGGTGTTGAGGAAGTCTCGATCGAGATGCTTGTTTGCACGTGTCCAGGTTGCCCAGGCGGATGTCTAGCATGAGGATGTGTTGAGAATGCCTCGAGAGATACGCTTGTTTTCACGTGTCCAGGTCGCCCAGGCGGATGTCTAACATGAAGATGTGGTGAGGATGTCTCGAGCGAGACGTTTGCTTTCACGTGTACAGGTCGCCAAGGCGGATGTCTAGAATGAGGAGGTGTTGAAAACGTCTCGAGCGAAACGCTTGTTTTCACGTGCCCAGGTCACCCAGGCGGACGTCTCACATGAAGATGTGTTGAGGATGTCTCGAGCGAAGTACTTGTTTTCACGTGTCCAGTTCGCCCAGGCGGATGTCTAGCATGAGAATGTGTTGAGGATGTGTTGAGCGAAACGTTTGTTTTCCAGGTCGCTCAGGCGGATGTCTAAAATGAGGATTTGACAGGATGTCTCGAGCGAAACGCTTGTCCCCAGCACGTTCCGTAGCGCGTCCCCTTGGCACGTCCCGCGGTGTGTCCCAATGGTACGTCCCCTGGTATGTCGCCTGGCGCGTCCCTTGAGACGTTCCGCGGCGCGTCCTCCTGGCATGTCCCCCTGTAAATTAGCTCTGCGGCAGATACTATGTGTTCAGGCAGCTCGAGCTTAAGATCCAGATCAGTTCGGTCAGGACTCGGATGCAAAGGAGGACTCGATCCACGACGCTATAGAGCACAACCGCGGCATGGCACATCGCAATTCAGCACGGTGCAGCACAGCACAGATTTCGGCACGCTACATCAAGATCGATACAGTCAGCATTGCAACCTGGCACGTTCCGTGGCACGTTCCGTGGGGCGTCCGTTGGCGAGTCCCCTTGGCACGTCGCATGGCGCGTCCCCTGGCACATTTCGTGGCACATCCATTGGCACGTTCCGTAGCGCGTCACGTCGCCTGGCGCGTCCCTTGGGACGTTCCGCGGCGCGTCCTCCTGGCATGTCCCCCTGTAAATTAGCTCTGCGGCCAATACTATGTGTTCAGGCAGCTTGAGCTTAAGATCCAGATCAGTTCGGTCAGGACTCGGATGCAAAGGAGGACTCGATCCACGACGCTATAGAGCACAACCGCGGCATGGCACATCGCAATTCAGCACGGTGCAGCACAGCACAGATTTCGGCACGCTACATCAAGATCGATACAATCAGCATTGCACTTGCCCGTCACCCAATCAGGTGTCTTTGAAAACGTTGCCAGGCGTTACATTTCTACATTCCTTTCTGGGTTCGTGGGTCAATCATGTTTTCCGTACCCATGCCGGGCATCCACAATTGGAGACGTCGCGCTGCAAGCCCGCATTGTCGCTCGTGCTGCCGTGGAGTTGCCTGGACGCTCGGTTGTGACCTTGACTTTTTGGCTGGTGCGAGGTCTCTGGGGGCCTCGCTCCGAGAGGCACGGGGTGGGAGGGGGAGGAGGAGGAGGAGGAGGAGGAGGGGGAGGAGGAGGAGGAGGAGGAGGAAGAGGAGGAGGAGGAGAGGAGGAGAGGAGGGGGGGAGGAGGAGAGGAGGAGAGACCCGAGGGGGAGGAGGAGGAGAAGAGGAGGAGGAGGAGGCGGAGGAGGAGGAGGAGGAGGAGAGACCCGAGGGGGTCAGGGGCTGCCCAGGTGATGATGGTGGGGGACGGCGGCAACGACGTGGGCGCGCTGGCCGCCGCCGACGTGGGCCTGGCGCTTCGCGGCGCGGCGGGCGGCGCGGCGGGCGCCGCTGGGGCCGGCGGCGGCGAGGGCGTCGACTTCTTCGACGACGAGGCTTAAGTCGGGCATGTCCCTCTACAGGAGGAACATAGTCACAGAAAAAGTCAGGGGACGATGGTTTAAAATTTGTTGCTGAATAGTGCTGGTGGCTGCTTGACAGTGTTTCACTTTTCGTCCACAGTCCGCGCCGGTAGGAGGACACGCCCGACCTAATCGACGAGGCGGCCGCCCGGCGCTTCGCCGAGGATGGGGGACGGACAGCAGCCCAAAGGTGTCCTTTTCCGCCCGACCCGACACAGGGTGGGATACCCGACCATGTTGGAGTATGCTTGAAGTATTTTGTTCGTCGAAAATCCCCCTGTAGGGGGACAGGCCCGACTTCAGCCCATTCCTCGATGCATGGGCGCGCGCCGGGAAGATCAGCTACGTGAGCTGATTCTCAACCCCCCCCCCTTTACTATCCCCCCTTTTCGCCCGACCCGACACAGGGCGGGATACCCACCCAGAGGTGCTCACGTCGTGTAGGAGCAGGGCGGGGGCTGTCTTGCCGCTCTCGGCCTCTGGGGGCCCCTGCGGGGCACCGGGGGGCCGTGACAATGCTCAGGAGGGACAGAACTATTGGAAAATATCGGAAGTGGGGGGGGGAAAGACAAAAACCCAGAAAATCTGTAAAAATATGGGGGTTTCGTTTTATTTGTGTGTATTTATTTCTGTGTCCTGGGGCCCCTTCAAAAGATTCGGCTCTGGATAACAAGCCAGTCCTGGGGAAAGGGTCAGGACTTCTGGGGACCGCGCATTGAACAAATCAGGACGTCACATATCAGGTACCTGATTGCCCCGCTTTCGCTTCCAGGCAAAACCAAGTCATACCACGCGCCTCCTCGTCAAGCAGCCTGACGGTTGCGGGCCCAGCTGCGGGTAGGCTGGTATCGTTGGTCAAGAGCGAGGTGGCTTCGATTGCCTCTTCATGAACAGGCGTTCTCGGAGGTTCGCACGGATTTTTCGGATCGGTGCTGGAGCCTCACAGCGGCACCTCCGGCGCCGCCCCTGGCCCTTGGCGCGCCCCGCGCGCCAGGGAAGGGTGGCCAGCGCCGATGCAAGAACTACGCACGGACCTCCGAGAAGGGTCCTGTGCCCTGTGCCGCTCGTTGCTCCCCTGGAGGAGCAGAGGGCGCAGCTGCAGCGGCGGCAGGCCAGGGCTTCCATCCGTAGAGGAGGACAACGTACTGATACTGATACCGCTACCCTTGCCTCGTTTTCGCCCTCTGGGCCCTCATGGGAGGCCCTCAGTCGCCACCGCCGGATTCGCCTCGAAATTCAAGTCAGAAAGCATCTCTAGAGAGGTCCAGGGAGTAGCGGTATCGGCACCTTCGGGTTTCTCCAAATTCGACCGACTCGATATCGATATTGGCCTACCCGATCCGATTCGGATCCGACATTCTGACGGCCCGATGCAGTTGGATGCCTGCATGACGCTGTTGTGCATCCTGGTGCAGCCGATCCGATCTGATTTCGGTTCCGTGCCGATGCAGCCCGATCCGATGCACACCTTGAATCGATCCGACTTGCCGGTTCGATGCTGGCTGATTCTGCAGGCGGCGTCGCGCGCGGCGACGGAGCGGCAGACCGCGTGGCTGCGGGGGGAGATCCGGCGGCTGAACGAGGGCGGAGGCCGGCCAGGGCTGCAGGAGCCCAAGGGAGATGCTTGTTTTTGTTTTCCAGCCTCGAGCGTATCCCTATCCCTCAGATTGACACGCCAAAAGGCGTTGACAATCTAGGGATTCGCCCTCAAAAAATAAGGGAACCCCTAAGATTGGCATCGTGATGAGGAGGTGCCCAGCATAGGGATAGGGATATGTTCTAGGCTGGTAATTTTTGTGGTTCGCTCCGGGCGTGCCTTCTCGATGTCGGCCTTCGGGAGCCGTGTTCGGGGCCCCAGGGCCAGGAGTCCGGGGGAGGAGGAGCCCAGACCTCCGACGAGCTGTCTGTTTTCTGCTGTTCGCTCCGGGCGTGTCGTCTCGAGGTCGGCCCTCGGGAGCCGTGCTCGGGCCGCGGGGCCATCGGAAGTGGACTCGGGAGGAGGAGCTTGTCTCCGGGGAAGCGGCCGGGTCTCCTTCGAGGCCGAGGGTTGAAGCAATGAGAGGGGCGGGTGCCAGGGAAGAACCCAGGAGGAGCAAACACTGAACTACACACGGACCCAAGTTCGATGTCAGTGGGAAGTTGGGGAAACAGGGAAACAGAAGGGGAAGATCCGAAAACCAATTTTCTGAGGTACTCCTGGAGTTCGCGTCTGACCCCTTAAACTACACAAGCCTGGATCACCCCTAGGGGCACGAAGACAATCGTCAAGCAGTGACGAGACCCACCAAATGATGTTCTAGTAATCCTTTTTGTGGTTTGCACGACATATCCTTAATAGAGCGTTTCTAACCGAGGCCGTCGTGGTTTTCATACGTCGGCTCTACGTTCTACGAACATGGCTTTTGTTTTTCGAGCACTCTTCAGCTCTATGAAAGTGTCGTGGTAGGCCTACAGGAATGCTAGGACGGTCGGTCCCTGCTCAAAATCCCAGACATCCTCCGATATGATTTTTTCCCATCCGCGGCCCCTCCCTGGGGATAGTTCTGCGCCCCAGAGCCGCTTTTGAGTCTCCTTGGGCCGGAAGCGTTTTTTTATTCGGGATTTCGACGTGTTGCCGACGAGGGGGGGTGGGGGGGTGATCTGGGGCTGGGGCCTCGACGATCTGCTTCTACCAGTCGCGCAAGCAGACGGGGGGGAGGGGCCCCGACGAGTCGCCAAGAGCAGCCTCGATCAAAGGGGGGGGGGGGCCGGGGGCCCGCGCCGATCGGCGAACCAATACGTAAACAACAGGCACGGGCCCCGGAGGCCGACATCGAGGACGCTCGCCCAGAGAGTGAAGAAACGCAGGGGGCGTTCCAAGAAGAGGGCCTCCTCCTTCGAGGGCAGAGGGGGCTGTCGCCTCTTCCGCGGCGGAGGGGCGGCGGAAGGTCGATGGGAGTAGAACGAGACCGCCTCCGCCGGCGGAAGCTCGGCGGAGGGCGGCGGAGAAGGAAAAGCGCTCGCCCCAGAGAGGTGAAACCGTTTTTGGGGCTCAGGGCTCCCCTGGTCCTTCCTGGTGGCCTCGTTTCGTCTCGTGCATTTCAGGGGCTCCGACCGAACAGCTCGATCGCGCCGATGCCCGATCTGTTTTCGGCACGGTAGGTAGTGTTACTAGCCCAACACGAGGCCTCCAGAGCTGTGGACGAGGGGGGGCAGTGTCTTGTGTGTGGAGAAGGAAAAGCGTTCGCCCCAGAGAGGTGAAACCGTTTTTGGGCTCAGGGTTTTCGAAATCGCCCACCCATCGTCGGAGCTCAGGGATCGCGCTGCGCGCCATCGCGGCTCGGACCGGGGAGGGCGCGGGCAGCCCGGCGAGGCCAAGGTTGGGGGGACTTTGTCGGACGGGGCTAGGATTGAGTCGGGCGTGTCCCTCTACAGGAGGAACATTCAAAAACAGCAACAAAAATAGTGCAGGAACGATTTTTTGATTGTTGTTGTTGTTGCTTATTGTTTGACGATTTCTTTACTATTTCCCAGAAAGGGCGTGGGCCCAGGGTTCTCTTTTAGTCGGTAAACCTGTCCCCGGCGCTATGCTTGAAGATGGCTGGCGAATTCATTTGCGATAAATAACGGGCAATGTTCCATTCGGCGTGGAACAAATGCGTCTCGCGCGTGCCCGCTGGAGGAAAGTGCGCCCCCCATCTCGGATCCTTGTTGCTCAATGGGGTCTGTGGACCCCCGCTTTCCCTTGACAAAAAAAGAGTGCGGAGCGTTCTGTGCAGAACCCAGATTAAATAAGGAGGTACGGAGCCCCGACCGGGACACGAAAAATGTGAGAAGCAATTATTTATTCGCTTCGCTCATTCCGCCGGCCCTGGAGCGCTATTTGGGGCCTCTTGGGGCCGTCTTGGGGGCCTCTTGGGGTCTTCTTGGGAGCGTCTTGGGGCTCCTTGTCGGCGTCTTGGGCTCCCCAGGGGCCTCTTAGGGGCTCTTGGGGGCCCCTTGGGGCGGGAGGGGGGGTAGTCGACCGCAGCCACCCCTTCGGAGGCCACGATCCTCGTGAGCGGTGGCGAAAAATAGCCTCCCCTCTGGGGATCGCCGGGGACCCGGCCGGGGATCGGCCGGGGTACTTTTCGTCCGGGTCGTGGCCCTGGGAGCGCAGTCGCCGCGTAATTTGCAAAGGATCCTGGCCCTGGGAGCACGGCCGCAGCGTAATTGACCAGGGATCCTGGCCCTGGAGGCGCGAACCCAGCGTAATTCACTAGGGATCGTGGCCCTGGGAGCGTGGACGCTGGGTCATTCACGAGGGAGTGCGGCCCTGGGAACGTGGACGCTGCGTCATTCACGAGGGAGCGCGGCCCTGGGAGCGCGGACGCAGCGTCGTAGAGAGGCGTAGCACAGCCCCTGGCACAGTAGCATCACCATTGATACCTGGCACGTTCCCTGGCGCCTCCCCTGGGCACGTCGGGCGATGCGTCCCCTGGCACGTCCCCTGGCACGTCCGCTGGCACGTTCCGTGGCGCGTCCCCCTGGCACGTTCCGTGGCGCGTCCCGTGGCGCGTCCCCTTGGCACATCGCGCGGTCCCCTGGCACGTCCCCTAACACGTTCACTGGCACGTTCAGTGGCGCGTCCCTTGGCACGTCATTGTGCGCGGCGCGGCACAGCGCAGAGAAGCGTAACACAGCCCCTGGCACAGTAGCATCACCATTGATACCTGGCACATTCCCTGGCGCCTCCCCTGGGCACGTCGTCCGATGCGTCCCCTGGCACGTCCCCTGTCACGTCAGCTGGCACGTCAGCTGGCACGTTCCGTGGCGCGTCCCCCTGGCACGTTCCGTGGCGCGTCCCCTTGGCACATCGCGCGGTCCCCTGGCACGTCCCCTAACACGTTCACTGGCACATTTAGTGGCGCGTCCCCTGGCACGTCATTGTGCCGCGCGGCACAGCGCAGAGAAGCGTAACAC